GCGACAACGAGGGCAACCCACTTCTATAAATCAAAAGGAGACAGCGACCATAACAGAGGCCACAATATCTTGGTCTTCATATATTAAATTAAACTACAATTTAGGTCGACTGACTGCATCACGATCGCAGCCAAAAGCTTAGAGTTTGCTTGGATATCGTTGAATGAGGATAATACCAGAAAGTGATAAAAGTTAAAGTTTTTACCAAAGATGTGGATGATTATTTAGTTGGCAATAGAGTCTTACTTTCTATTCTCTTTTTGGTGTTATGCTATTATATCTTGTATCTATTAGTTACTCATATTTTTATGAGACAGATTTTGATGAAGCAGAACAGTTTACTCGCTTTAGTGAGAAGTTTTTTTTACGAATGTTTAAAGTTATCTTCATGGCATCATAATAAACCTGGATAAGTATCTTTCAAAAGGACAAGAACAACAAGGTCGGCGTAATATAATCTTATACTTCTTGGTAGTGCAGACGACCAACTTTTGCTGTAATGCTAGGGCGACTCAATGTTTTACTGTAGTTTGGAAAGACATAACTCTGGCCTTGAGGACCAGGGGCTTCGTTAATCAAACTGTTATTCAGAGGCTAATAGCGTACCTAAGCTGCACATCCTTGTTTAGTTGGTCGGTACAGATATTAAGAGAATTCAACTTTGATGCAGAATATAATTTAAAAGTCCCGTTTATGTAAACAAACGTCTTTTCTAAGTCATTGAAGCAAGCCGGAAGCCTTAATGAAGTACCAAACTAATTTCCTCAATAACTTGGATTTATAAAATAGGTATATGTCTGAATAAAATATGTAAATACGAAGCACACAAACTATAAAGGTAGGTATATTCTTGGCTTGCAAGGTGGGCTTATAAAATTAGCAGGAGAAGCCTTATGTCAATTATAAGATCTGTATGTACTTTATCTCGTTTAAGCTGATGACGAACTGATAGTTCAATGTTCCCACACTCGTATGAGTGAGCCTCACGTTTTCCATTAAATTTCATATATCCTTGCTTCCTAAAAGGTATTATCATTCATAGTGGTCTGCAGTTTCGACATAGCCTAAGTCTTGTCAACGCCCCTAGCGGGACTCGAATCATGAAAGTTCAGTGTATAATCTCGGCACGTTAACAACTATTCTACATTGCCACGAATACCCTTGGGTCACAGGACAGATGTAAATTTTAAGGAAAGCCAGGCATTTTCCATATTACGCTCAGTGGTGGGATTGGTGATGAAATAAAGTTGTATTTTGCTATAGAAATTGATTAGATTGCTTTTTTTCGTTTTATTAGTAAGTATTTAAATTGTTGTATTAAATACAACTTTACTTATTTGACAGTCCCGCTCCAGAGGTGTGATATGAGAAACTCATAGTCTTCCTTAAACTTCATTTCTGCCTTGCGACCCGAGGAAACTCGTGTCAGTTTTGTATAGTACTTAATCTGTCGAGTCGGTACGCCGCAGCAAAACAACCTGGGTTCGAGTTTCGCTTGAGAAGCATATAAGAAGATGAGGCGAGGTCGAAACTGCAGTCAAATCCAGCCTGGATGAGAATACCTTTTGGGAAGCAAGGCTATTTGAAATCCAATGGAGACACAAGGCCTCCTCATATAATTGTGGGAAAATTCAACTATCAGTACTTTTTCACCTTAAGCGAAATAGGGTGAATACAGCCCTTCTATTAGTTCTACTGATAGCATAGAAAACCTTCTCAATAGCTAAAATTAAGTCTAGCTGATTGCTTGCAGACCATCCAATTGGTACTATTCAATTAAGTTGAGTTTATTTCTTCTATGAAAAAATGAGTAATAAAATCAGTGAGTCAGTCACACCTGATTCTGTTAGATTATGATATCGTTTTCGCTTCTTTGTCACCTACCATCGGAGTAAGTTGAAATGTGGGCTAATAAGCTTAAGTATCCAATTCCAGCGACATATCAAGTTTGTTTGTTTGTATTCTGTTCTTTGTTAACAAGACCGTGCCGATCATTCTTCGAGGAATCTGAAAGGCCATGAATCGTCGGTAGTGCTAGTGTAACATAATGACTAATACTGAGGCTCATTGTAAATCAGTCATCATTATTTGTATGTGAAGCATGTTGAAGTATACTGTCTGATAAAGTTCGTGGCTCAATTCTCCCTCCCTGGTTAAACCAGATGAGGGCCAACTGGCTTCAAACCAAAAGTGGACTTTGTATTTGTGAAGACCAAGATATTGTGGCCTCTGGACTCGGTGCGTTCTACATAGTCTCCCTGATCACATGACCAACTTGCGACAACGAGGTCAACCCACTTCAATAAAGGGGAGACTTCGACGCTATGTCATTCTATCGGCTTTGAGTGTGCAAGAGTACTCCACCATATCTTGTTTCTCGAAAAGTGTTACTCCCTGCAATGAGCCACAGGTTGGACTCCTTAGTCCAGCCTCAGTGTGAAAATTGATATCGATTATGGTTTGAGGTGTGCGCTGATGAGGTCTAGTCTATGTCCAGCCTGTAGCGCAGCCTTGAAAAGAACGCTTTCTATAAAGCAGGGTATAGAGAAGTAGATACGAAGAGATACTGTATTTCGATGAATCTCTTGATATAACATTGTTAAGAAGACATTGATTTCGTATGAAATTGAATGAAGAAGAAATTTGTTGGTCGATCTCACCAGATGAGGACGGATGAAACTCGTTGTGGTGCAGCCGGTTGGATTTTATGCGATATTCATTTTAACGCAGTCAGCAAAACTTCCTCCTTCGTTTCGGATGAAAACGTGCTGAGCTTTCGTCCATCATATGATGGACATCATCAGAGCTGGGTTTCATTCTTGTGAGAGTCTTATGTTAACACTAGGTCAAGAACACTATCCGGATCTATCTTACTTCTTAACCAGACTCAATTGAGCAAAAATAAAATTAAAAACCTAGATAGATCGAGA